GTATAAAAAAAAGTCAATCATTTGCAGATCAAAGACTTGGCGCCGCGTCACGAAGAGCACTTCGAACCAACTATAAACCTGCTGTCTTCGCTCACTACTCAAGACCAGATGACCGGCCAGAAAAGATTGGTAACAGGGGTTCTCTAGGGCGAACCAACCCGGCAGAAACCAACTGTGTAACAAATATGCAGGAAGAAATGGAGATGGATTGGTCATACTCTGAGAAAACAAACCATTAAGTGGCATCACACACCAGGCTCTGTCTCTTGAGTGAAACCTGAATGGAAGCGGAGAGTTGGTTGTCAGTATGAGGATGACGTGGAGGAGGTTATGTGAAGAGGAGATGAAAGCATGTGGGTAGACGTGAAACCGGGTGAAAACGTTGACAGATTTATTTTATTTATTTAAACGCATAAAAACTTGGTACAATATGGCACCAAGAAGGATGCGCCACACAATAATAATAAAAAAACACAGATCAAAAGAAAAAAGAAAGAAGAGAAAAATATACAAAAGTAGAGAACGGATAAAGAACTTCATCTGGAAGGAAAACAGTCATACTTAACAAGTTCAAACAGTATTAGTTAACTATCATCTCGAAGGGAAGAAAGAAGGAAATTGCTACACGTGTAATAGCATGCGATAAGTTTCATTGATTGTTTGTTGCTTTATTCAATTCATTGTGTGAGGGCTGAGATACTGACCGGGCTCCCAGACCGAAGCAGGTGGTTTTTTTAAGGGACCACCCCCGGAGCCTTTGACTTGGAGTCTAATCCGCAAGGCAGCGGAACAGCGTCAGGAGCTGCATTCCCATGGTTTCCGGTGACCCAAATGGGTTCATACGCCATTTGATCCAATTGGATACTGGAGCCCATGTACCCCATGGTAACTGCCTTTAGTTTAACCGCTATCCAAACAACCTTCCTGACATGGTAGGACCTGCATGGACAGAGTCTCGGTCAGTTTAGCATGTTGGGTCATTACAGTAATCAAACCCGACCACCACGACAAGGTAGCAGTTATCGGCCCGGTGGTTGACAGACAGCCAAACGCAATGGGACGTGCGGCTGAAGCCCTATGCTCCTCTAGGAACAAAAGGAGACAATAATAACAGTAAATTGTTGATAAAGTTGCCACCACTAGATTGTAAATTTATGAATTCTATCAGAATTACTACACATGTTTATTAGAGCTGTATCATAGACAAGAATCTAATTGAAATGTAAATATTTATTAGTTGAATCTCTTTATCTTTCAAATGTCTAAATTCAATTTTCGTTATATTGAATATCCTTACCGTAGAGTAAATAAGTATTCAATTCTGCCCACTTAGATTTTCTATTATTTATAATCTAACTTCCTACAGAATCACTTCTAAACATATCTTTCGAATTATTATAATAACTCACAAATGAAAATAAAGTTAGACAGTGTGAAACAGTTACTTACTAGCCTATTTGCAAAACCTTAAACACAAAGTATTTATAAAAACTAGTGAGATTATTTAATTACTCAAGACCCATTAGATGACATCAAGCTTAATAGTGTGGCACACTGGTTCAAAGTCGACAACTTAGTGTAAGAAGCAGAAAGTCTCGTTGAAGATAAAGGACACTTCATCTGTAAACAACATCACTGAGTTAAGAACCGAAGCAATTGCCCAAAAATGCCAGAATGGTGCTAACCATTTTCATCCGAAAGTATCAGTCGTAAATTGCCAAATATAAACGAAAAACACCCATTGCAAAGGAGTTGGCTACTGACCATCATCAACCCAATAGATGACTCCTTGAGCGCTGGTTTCCTGAATTAGTAGGAGAATTATGACAAATCCTAAATGCGAGTTTTGAATTTCATGTAAATTCAGTCTACTTCACCAGTTTTTCATCTCATTGACGAGGCCCATTTAAGATTATCTTATTATTAACGTCAACTTCTATTTTATCCTCATCATCAATTTAATCCGGATCACTTTTCATATTACAAGGTAACCGATCCATTCTCATAGAGTTAATACCTTCTCATTCACTCAATAATATTCTTTCTAGTGTTTAATAATCAAATAAATTTCACAGTTTATCAATATTTTACAAATATAACTTATGGTGAGAATAGAATAGAGAATAGTTAATTCTCTATTTTAGTTTAATTACCGTCGCGAACAAGCTATTTATACAGAACGTATTTAAAATGATTCCTCTCTACTTTTGATGAATGTAAACACATATGTACGATTGTAACATTTTATAGATTATTATGAACACGAAATACCCGGAAAGACTGAGTGAATAAAGAAACAAGAAATATAATTGATGATAATATGACTAATTAAAAATACCCATTAAAATTTTCAAAAGAATGGATACTGGACAAAGAGTACTCGTTTCGATAACCTCTTCTTCATCAGGCTCTACAGTTATTTATACATTATAGTGAATGAATGAATGAATTGTTGCTATGAACAACATTCATGTTGTTTAAAAAACATCGAATCAATAATATTGATTGATTTCAGCTCAGTAGAACCAACATAAAATAAGTTGAATGTCAGAAAAATTAAGATAATATTACAAATTCATGAATTCATAGTCACTAGTGAGGGCCAGGGCAGTAGTAGGGGCTAGCTGGACTTGCTTCTTTTGAACACAGAGCACTGGTTGTTTGAGACGAATTGCAATAGCCTCTGCTGTTTGCAGCATGCGGTGCTTCGATGATTATGGTAATTTATTAGGCACCCGGTAAATGATAGAAAGGATTCTTCCACTCTGGCTTTGTGGCCGGTTCGCACCAGATGGTCCAATATCAAACTCTTAATGATTTTAATTACACCTTTACTTAGCCATAGTGGGAGATGCTCTCGAGCCTGATGAAGAAGATATTATCGAAACGAGTACTCTTTGTTCAATATCCATTCTTTTGAAAATAATATGATTTTTATAAACCCTAATATGCGAATAGGGAATGAAGTATATTTTACAAAATGAGTGTTATGAAAAGGGAGACAGAGAAGTCACAACTCTCTGATGATAGCAAACATTAATACACACAGTAGAAGGATAGTCTAACCAAGTTCATAAAATTAGATTATTAACAGTATATCCCTTAATATACGTGATTACTTTGTATAATAAATGAATATAAGCCAAAAAAAAATAAGATGAGGTCAATAGAAACATACTACTAAATTCATAGAATCAAAAGAATCTTTTATTATTACTAGTAAAAGAACGTCTCTCCTGAGACTATCTGAACTCATTAACCAAAATAATTCATTACGCATTACAAAGAAATAATTAATTCTGTAAAAAAACTATATATGATGAACAGAACTCAGTGATATTGAAATAATTGATTCTAATTTTCACTCCACGTCTAATATTTGTAGAATAATTAGGTCGAATCCTGATTTCAGTTCAGTATAAACTATTTAATTAGCTGTAGAAATGTTAATTATTTTATAAATGGATTGCATTTTTATCATTTTCTGCTGGGAACTGCTTGGAATGGAAAAATAAGTATCTGAGGGAATCAACAGTCTTTCAAATGACCTTGATATAAGTGTTTAACAGAATGCTTTCATTCAAGTATTCTCTAAACTTTCATGCATTTAATCAAAATTTTCATTAACCTTTTAGTCATCTTATTACCAGAAAAATTTGATAGTTAGTACAAAATATGAGTATTCTACATTCAAGACTTATACAAATCCACTTTAAAATTGCGTTATTGTCTTTCTTCAGGATGGTACGCTTTCTTTGATCAAATTGCGAGTAAATGAGTTGTTGCGTGTTTGAATGATTAAATTATTTATGTTGATCAATTTAAGCAACTTGAATCTCTCATAATCCTCTGGCATAGATTGTTTTCTTTGTTATGTATCATTTTCTGATCAGATTTCCTTATCGTCCCACTGAAGGTTCAACATGAACTTGGTCTCCAAGGTCGGTTAATTCCACAGGCAAATGGGATCTATGATCCTTTATTTTTATTAGATTTTTACAGTAACCTTCGTAATGAAGAGATGATTCGTCTCTTTATGATTATCTTTGTTACTTATGAAGTGATAGGTAATTTTCCATAATTACGTAACTGAGTATGTATGATCTGGATGTTTCACCTACTCAAAATAGTGTCATATAACTGCGGAAGTATACAGCGAATTCGAAAATATGCTGAACTGACAGCAACAGAAAACAAACGACAATGAGTCTTCAGAAGTGCACCCACGCCCCCAACAGGGATCCCAACCCGGGACGTTCAGATTACGAGGTCAAGCTTCTTCATCGTTCAGACATGAACTGACAAAGTTTGGTTTGAATTCCTGTCCAGGTGTCTGAATCGTCAACAAGCTTGGTTTCATAATCTGAAGGTCAAGGGTTTTGATCCCTGGTGGGGTCATGGGTGCGAATTGCTGAAGAAACCCCAAAATGGAATGAAGCAACAGTCCAGCGCTCCCTGGCTTTCAATGAACTCTTTAACTGATGTTGGTTAGAGAAAAAATTCAACGACTGAAATTAATCAAAATCTCCACGAATCCTATAATTTGAATATCAGTCGACAATGAGTTTAAACTATATAAAGATCACAATTTAATTTTTTTTTTTTACAAAATCATTGATGAGTATGGAGCACTAGACAGTTATTTCCTCCTCCTCCTAATCCCGTTGGGGATCGAATCAACAGCATTCAAATCATAAGGTGATTTCGCTGACGACTCAGTCATTGAACTGCAATTCAATGAATCCATGAGTCTCAACTATCGTCAATTTTTGCTATATCAACCCACTGATAACCAAGGTCATCAATGAGCATCTACTTCACATCCGATGGGATTCTAGGATGAACAGTGTCCAAGAGTTTTGAACTTGGAGAAAAAAGCAAATGACCAGTAACAAAAGCTACACTAACATTTTATACAGTTAAATTTTTAACAAGACTAGATGAACATTGTAATTTGTGAGGATAAAATTTAAGTTTTAAGAAAAATAAGATGCACTTACTTTTTGTGGTAAACATCAGTTCTTGTTCCTTGTTTAGTCCGTCAGTAGAAAATGTGGTTATAACATAAACTGATAAATCCAACAGTATAGTCTTTCAAAAAGAATTATTCCCGAGGATAGTAATATTAAGTCGATAAACAAAAATATTTATTCGCAATGTGAAGGTAATAATTCCTTTATCGCTTTCTATGATACACAAAATTTATTAATCGAATAGTAACTGGTTGAACAAGACACTAAATATTATTGTTATATTACTAAAATTATTTCCAATTACTAATACCAATACGCTTCCTATTCGTTTTTATACATACACGCTTGCAAATACAAGTATACACGTACATATATCATACACGTGAGAATGGTAATACGTTCGCACATACATAACAATATTATTTCCCATCCTTTTCATTACATTGGTCTATTTTACTCAGACCCTTATACTGCATGTCTACAAATCCTACGATAAGAGAAATAGATTATATGTGTGTACGTGTGTGTGTGTGTGACAGAGGAAGCGAAGAAATAATAGAAAAGGTAAAATGCCAAAAAACCATCCTTATTATTTCCCTCAAGGTAAATATGACGAGTGTATTTTGTCCACAGGCAGACAACTAGACCAACGCCCCAAAATAAAACAAACATTTATTTGTGTGTGTGTAAATTGGACTAGTGTCTAGTATTGTGTATGCAGATTATTATAACCCTATTATAACTTCTACCCTTGACCCTAATGTTATTATTGATGATTCATTTCATTTGGGTGGTTGACTAACTAACCAGTTGATATGTGTCTATCCTACAATCTTAACAGAAATCATTTGTCATTGATAGACGTACAAATGAACTACCTATAGGTAAATGAATCATTAGATTTTTAAAATTAACAATTATCTTTTGATTGCATGGAGGATTTAATCATGGGCTGACATCAGTTAGAGAACCACTGGAAAGTCTGGGAGTACTGGACAGTTGTTTCGTCCTAGTTTGGCACTCTTCAGCAGTACGTACCCACCGGGATTTGAACCCAAGACCTTCTGGTTACAAGGCGAGCTCGTAGACCATTGATCCACTGGGACCCGATGCAATGGTCCTTGAATTCTAACTTCTGCCAGCTCACGACTTGTTTTGTTTTTACCATCATTTATTCATAAAAAGCTCTATCACATACACAATCTAGAAGTCGTGAAATTTGAGGAAATGATACAGGACAAAATCAATTAGCCTGCCTGTAATCGTTTTCCTTGAGGTAGTTTGTAGGGATGTGATTGTTCCAATTCTGACCACGGATTGATGTCAATTTGAGAACCACTGAAAAAGATGGAGTTTTATTATTATTTCCTTCAATTCCTAGAGGAACATATGGCTTCAGCTGCACGTCTCCACTGCGTTCGGTTCTCTGCTAAAGTTTTCACCTGGCTGCAGGTCTGCCCACAGGCTTTCGTCTCCTCTTCACATAACCTCCTCCAAGTCACCTTTGCACTGACGACCAACTCGCCGCTTCCTGTTCGGGTTCCACTCGAGTGATGGCCTGTCGTGTGATGTCACTTGATGTTTTGTTTTCTCAGAGTATGGGCAGTCCATCTCCATTTCTTCTTGCCTATTTGTTGCACAATCGGTTCCCTTTTGCTGATCTTTTCTGACCGGATATCTGATCTTGAGCACTGAGCGAAGACAGCTATTGATGAAGGTCTGTAGCTTGTTTGAAGTGTCGTTCGTGACGAGGCGCCAAGTCTCTGATCCGTATAGTAGCACTGACTTCACATTGGTTTGAAAATCCGGATCTTATTTTGCATGCTGAGTGCTGTTGACCTCCACACAGACTTGAGAGTAATGAAAGCTTTTCTTGCCTTCCCGATCCTTACTTTGATATTCTCATCAGTTCTGTTCGCCTGTAGTTGAAATGATGCTTCCCAGGTGGGTAGGTGGAGGTTGTTTCTTTCAGGTTCCTCCCATTTATGCTGATTGTTGTCTGTTGTTGTTGCTGCTGTTGGTGTTGGCCAGGGATCTTCATCACCTCTGTTTTCTGTGTGTTCATTTGGAGTCCTATCTTTTTTATCGCCAACTTGTTGTTTTCCACTTGCATATCTTCCAGTTTGTGTGGAAATCAGCCATAAATCATAGGCGAAGTCCAGATCCGACGGAGCACTGAATGGATATTCTCCCCTAGTTTGGGACTATTCTGCAGTACGTACCTAGTGGGGTTCGAACCCAGAACCCACCGGTTATCAGTCAAGCTCGTAGACCATTCAGCCACCGGGACCAGACTCACTGGCTTATGAATTACAACTTCTACCAAGTAGTAATTTTAACACGACCACCAGTCAGTGTCATTGGCGAGTATTTGTCCTTACTTCTGACCGGGTGTATCCTACTGTTTATGATTTCTCAGCAGATTAATTTTCAAGAGTTAGTTTATAGGGATTTGATTTGTTTAAAACCTTGACCACAGGTCTGTAATAGTAATCTGGAAAAATGGTCCCCTGACGATGTATGAATTTGCCAACTACTAACTACAATCTGCTTAGAAATACTATTCAGTTTACCATTAAGTTAGTTAACTAAAATGCAACCTTAAGCTGAAATATTTTTAAACGGAAGCTTTTCTTTTGGTCTTTTTGGTAGGCATCATGAACTTAGTCTAGTCATTCAATTTACCTAGATTCTTATCTAGTTATGAGGAGTATTTTCTATGATTTTAATGAATGACATTTACTCATTGACATTTAACTTCTTACAGGGAATACTTGTTCAGAAATAGCATAATGTACATACAGCATTTAATTGGGTTACATTTTGCATACTTATGGTGATCTAAGGTTTCCTTAGATGAGAAATTTTTTTTATTTGACACGTTCATGTCAGTTTGTTGAAAGTGTCTAGCTCTATGAACAGTAATATTCACTATGCATCTGAATTTATTTTAGTTAGGATTCAGAAATAGTAATATAGACAGTTGTATAAAATGAAGACAGCCTATTTTCGATATGTCGAACATTTTGGTCTAGTTAATCAACGAGAAAAAAGAAATCTTAATAATGGTATGAAATGCAATTAAAACTAAAATGTTTGCGATTATACTGTATGTGTGTTTATCAATTCACTTGCTCGTGTGGAGCTAGGTATGTCGGTCGTTGGACTCGAGTCTTGTCCAAGAGGGTGCAAGAACACTATCCTGCAGGGTTACGAAAAGGTGGAAGTGGAGCAATAAGAAGCGCGATCATTGAACATCTGATCGACAATGATCACCCTATCTCTATAGCCTCCGCCTTTAAAGTCATCTAAAAGGCAAAGAGTAATTTACCCAAATCCCTACGTACCCGACTCATCTGTATTGCTGAAGCCATCTTTGGCTATCGAAATAGAAAAGCCAGATCTCTGTGTACAGAAAAAGTTCGTTCAAACCCTCCAACTTTTATGGTCTTAATCCCTCGATGCTAAAGTATGGTAATCCCGAATCATATTTTAGCTCTACCAATTTTTCATTTTTTTCATTTTGTCTATTCAGTTTGTATACTCTTCCTTATTACGTCAATTGTTACTATTACTACTCTAATTTTGAATGGTCCCCGGTGTTAATTCACTCGTTCTACTTGTCATTCTAAATCAATTCCTTTTTACAACGATAAATTCTATGCAATGAAATTTCACACAATAATATGTAACGTTTTTGTTTTATTCGATTTGTCTACTAATCCTATAATTGCACACCCTTTTTCAAGTTCTATCCATCCTATGAATTATTCTATATATGACATTAATTTGCTTTGCCACTTGACATTTAACTATGAGTATAATCACAAACATTTTAGTTTTAATTGCATTTCATACTACTATTATTATTATTTTATGCATTCACACCTACTCTATATATGACATTAAAAAGAAAATCGACTGAAACATATAATAAGTGATACAGGTTGAACAAGAGGTGGCCCTCATGACCCAAGTGGTCTAGTGGATAACACTTTGGAGTTTGGAACAATGAATTCTGGGCTCGAATCTCAGTGCCAGCATCACTAATCATTAGGAATCGCAGGTACATCCAGTTGAAGAACCCCAAACAGGATGAAATCAGCAAATTAGAATCCAAAACTAGTTACCATCCGCCAAATAACATGAAGGCAATCTACTTGATTCTACATCACAATATATTATACCTGACGTCTTTGCACATACCGTCAATCCACTATGTATAAATATTATTCCCATGGGTTCCAAGCTGAACATAGGGCTTCAACAACACATCTGACCTTTTTTCTGTTCTCTGCCGCCCACTTCATCTGCATCCACAATTCACTATAACCTCTCATCTCCTCACACGATCTCCTCTATGTCTCCTTCAGACTACCCACTAGTCGCTTCCCAACGAGATTTCACTGGAGCGCCACGTTATTAGATGGCCTCCTCAATGTATACCCGATCCATATCTATTTTTTACATGTTTGTTGAGCAGTCGGCTCTTAGTCAGTTCGTTCCTAGAGTTTCATGTTGTTAGTTCCTTCTGGCTTACCGTTTGATCTTCACTACGGAGATGGTGAAGGCAGCTGTTGATAAAGGTCTAAAGTGGCCTGTTGGAAAACGTTTTCGTGACATGCAGTGCAAGTTTCTGACCCGTATAGAAGAACTGACTGGCTGACTGACTTCACATTTGTGTTGAAAATCCAAATCTTGTTCTTTGTGGTAAATGCAGATTTCCAAATTGATTTAAGAGTGAGATGAATGTCCGATTTACCTTTCTAATTCTGGCTGGCTTTGACATCTTCATCCATTCCGCTAGTCTGTAGTTGAAATGATGCTTTCTAGATATGTGAAGAAAGTAACCTCCTTAAATTTCTGCCATTGATGGCGATTGGTGCTGTTTATTGTTGTTGTTGTTAGTTGGTTGTATTTATTAAATCTTTCTTCTCTATGTACATCTGGAGTCCTGTCTTCGCTGCCTGCTTCTTCAGCTAGTTTGTTGGCTTTTGCCTGCAAGTCTTTGAGTTTGTGTGAGATCAAATATAAATTGTCTAC